CATTCAAAATGTAATTAGTTATTAGTTATCAATTCAGAAGTAAAAAGAAAAAATATGTTTTACTATACTCTATACAGATAATGTGTTACTTTTTAATGATAACTCATTTAATATAATGTATAATGCAATAGTTTCTTGAAATATGAATATCTCTAATTATATTGTTATTTAATACAAAAACATAAAATTCAATAAATTTAAAAACGAATAATTTATGCAGTAATAATTAAATTGTATAATATTAAACATAGAACTAGAGAAAACTGGTTGTATCAAAACGAACCTATATCTTACTTTTTATGTGATATCAAATTGTAAAATTGAATTTAAAATGTGTGAGAACTTCGTACCAATTGGGAACCAATCTTGACAAAGTGCTCGTACTTCCTCTAAGTCGTCTGGACAGAGGAAACGCAACTGAACGTCACCCAAGACACACAAGGGAACAGTTGCCGCTGTCACGGAGGTTTTCTGTTCATTAGGCGAATTTCTGATAGTATTCTCATCCGTATATTTGTGTTTAGTTTCTTGAGATATTTTAAATTCACTTTTCTCAATTTCCGGTAAAATAAGATATCGATTAAAAGATACGGCCATCACGCCACACTTTTTGTATCATTTGATTAATCATTTCTTGAGCAATGTCAAGCATCTCTCGTTGCATATAAACCTTTGCTAGTAAACATATCGAGATCCGCAGACATTTTGTTTCTACCCCTCTTCTGCTCTTCGCTTGTATGTACGTGTGTATTATGTAGTCTCTTTCTCACTCCATCCTTTAGCACTTATATATATGTTTGTATGGCGTGTACATATATGTGTGACTTTTTATTACACTTTTATTTTCTTCCTCCATTTATCTAATAGAAGTGAATTACGAAAAATCTGATTACGTGTATATGTACATGTAATGTATTACATATTTTGGATTCCTTCGTAAGAACATTAACAAGAAAATGTATTATAAAATGTATATTGCACAGAATTATAATTCAGAGATTCAGAAATCTTTGCGGCGGTAGATGGTAAAATATTAGAATATCGAAGAATTTACATATACGAATATGCGTTACCTTATCCGACATTAGTTGTACATGCTTACAGAAAATGTTTCGATAATTTCTTTTTAAATATTTTTCACACATTGAAAGACACTTCTGCATTCAGGCATTTATAAACATATTGATTTACTTATTTCAAATTTATTATTGTTAGGAAATTCCATTGGTCGCAGGTCTTGCTTCGCATTTTCATTTTACTACTACTAATAATTAGGTACATAACCAGATAATAATTATATTAGCTCATCGAGGAGCAGTTTAATACTGAATTTACGCATACGAATTTTCTATTATATAGAAACTGTTTGACTGCGCATAGTAAATATTTTAAGAGATGATTTCATCGACCAAAATAAGACGAAAATCAAAAGTGACGAAATCCCTACGGAAATTCCGATTTTAAGTTATTAACAATTGAAATCAGCCAGTAGCAACGTGTGAACCGAGCCTATCGATTATAGAAAGTGTGTGCACAGAACCCTTATGAATTCCTAGCTTCAAAATTTCGTATTCAACTGCGCATATGCGTGACTTTGTGGCGGTTAATTTGAATGGTTTGAACTAGAGAAGAAATAAGTATTCCGTCTTCCGTAAGTTGAAAACAGTGTATGCATACAATACAATTTTCTAAATCTTCTTACTGTTTTAATTTTAAACTTTAAAAAAATTTCGCGTACCGATTTCTGTCATAAATGCATAAAATCCGCCGTCTAGCAAGAAGTGTACGGTATACGAAATTCTATACGCATGCGCATTCGAATACAGATTTTTGAAGCTGTGTTCACCATAAGCCAATATAGAGACGCATGCGCACTAGGAATTGGTTACTGAAAATAACGTCAGACCTTCTCTTCTGGTATTCTATGGCGAAAACTAGTACTTCCATCTATGAAATAAAATTCTATGGTGCGATCGCGGCGCGAAAATTCGTACAGTCGATATAAAAGATGTTCAAAACTTCTATATTGTGCGTACAAACAATGTGTATGAAATATATAAACAAGTATAAATACATAAAAAGTATATGAGAATAAAGAAAAGAGTATGCAAAATTTATTTGCTAGTGTTCAAATGAATAACCCACTCGTAACTTCGTGTAAATATATGTTCGGAGCGTCTTTATTATCGAGCAGTAATAATCGAACGAATGTACATTAAAAAATAAATATGGTTTCACTAATTTTCATATAATGTTTATATTTGTGCATGTATTAAAAAATTCTGGATACACAAGAATTTGTTCACTTGCCTCGATGATCGATCAAACGAATAAAAAAAATCTTGTTACTGAATACTTTGTTTTCCATTATGTAACGTATTGTCGATCACATAGTTCGAAAGTATTTTTTGATGTTCCGTAGTCACGTTTTACCGATGCCGAAGTCCTAGTTTCACAAAAGTGAATTTGAGGCACTCCCTGGTGTAATACTTCCCACCGAACTATTATCGAAACAAGGTGATGACCTCGTTGCACCCTTATGAGATTTTCTCACAGACTTTCAATTGTTCCATGGAGATTCTATCATTTTTGCTAAAAAAGAAATTTCTTTGCGATGCTTTCTGTTGTC